GACCTTGCACTTGGCCTTGTTAAAGCTCATGTAAGCTTTTCACATCAGGCTTTGAAGTGCTGCCTTTTTCATATTTTGCTTTGTGTTTTTAGAATCACAGAGCAGCCCAGGTAAGAAGGGACCTCAAAAGAGCATCTGGGCCAGCCTCCTGTGGGAGAGCGAGCCTAGATGAGGTTGTCTAGCACCCCATCTAGTTGCATCCTGAAACCCCCAGTGATGGGGACTCTACCTTGTTTCTGGAAAGGTTGTTCCACTGAATGGTCATTTTTACTGTAAAAAAAAAAAAGTTTTAATGATGACCACCTTTGTCAATGTCTCTCTTCCTTTTTACAGAGATCGAAAATTATATAAACTGGGATTAAAAGGATTTTATGTCAAAGATGACAATGACAGTACAGGTAAGGTAATAACATTTCCTGTGCGATATGATTTCCAGTTAAAGTGAGTTACATGTGGTTATTTAAGGTACAGTAGGACTGTATAACTGCTAACACATAGTGTTCTTATTTCTGGCTTGGTTTTGCATACTTTTCTTTTGGGGTTGATGTGAATAATAATTTAGCACTTTCAAGTTACTGTCATCTTGATGTGGAAGTTTGTGTCAAACTAGGTGCCATGCTTATTCCTATTTGCACAGATTTACCAGCTCACTTAATCTCCACCTGATGCAGAGGGCAGATTCGTTCACAAGTGCCTGACCTGCTCTCAAATCAATATTTCACCTTCTCTAGCTCAAAATTGATTATATAACAGAGGGTCTGCAAATCCTAGATGTTTGCCTCGCTTTAAAACTGTTGTGCTGCCTCTACCCCAGACTAGAACATTAGTTGTTGCTGATTAATCTGCAGAGGAAAAGCAGTAGCCATGATGAGGAAAATTATAGTTTCCGTGTAGATGAGGAATCATGAGGAGGACCAGTGGAGTAAATCTCTCCCTACTTGCATGTATTTTAGGAATAATCATGGTGCATGATTATTAATCTGGCAAATTCAACACTAGTCCCTTGCTCCATCCTCCTGAATTCCCCACACATGCCTATCTGAACATAACTGCTTTGGTATCTGCTTTTTCCATTGCTGTCTTGCTAGATCCAGTGACATACAATAGCTTGATTTGACAGGAAGGAGTCTGAACAGAAACGAATGTTCATAGAAGCTGAGAATAAATAGCACAGGTTAGGGAAAGGCACTGTGAATGGAGCGAAGAAGGGAAATGTAAACCATATTTCTGTGCATATATGACTGAACTGTGGGGAGAGTAATCAGATGAAAACAGAAGTCTTATGCTTATGATAATTTGGCAGTAAATATATCCTAAACAAACAAAAAAAATTAAATTTTTCAGTTTTATCAACTATGTCAAGAGCTCTTGTATTTCACAAGTTTCATCAATATACAGTTCCTACTTTCTCCATGGTATTTGTCGTTTCATATACACACGATGTTGCTTAAAAATGTGATAGATGTGCCAGCAGTGTTTCAGTAGTTGGTCAGTTATTGCTGAGGTCATTATGTTCTGTAGCTCACACGTTACATTTTTGTAAAATCATGTTAGTGTGGTTTTGAAAGATTTGTAACAAACCCAGCAGTTTCTTCTATTTTAAGCTTGCTGTGATATATGCCAAAAGAACTCATGCAAAGAATTTTCTCTTCCTAATACTCATTTTTCTGTTGGTTACTGGGCATCATTATCGTTTGCTCTGCAAGTTATTGAGGTGAATGTTTGTGGTGAGTTAACCCCAAGCACCCACAGCCTCTGCCCCAGTTTTTATTGCTGAGCATTACATATGGTATGGACTGTCCCTTCAGCTAGTCTGGGTCAGCACTCCCAGCTGTGTCCCCTCCTAATCTCTTGCCCACCCCAGCCTACTCGCTGGGGTGCAAGCACTGCTGGCAGTAGCCAAAACAGCGGTGTGATATCCACACTGTTTTAGCCACAGATCCAAAACACAGCATTGTAGTGGTGGCTAAGAGGAAAGTTAACTCCATCCCAGACAGACCCAGTGCAGTGTTTTGGCTGTAGAAGTTAGGTTTTGTTTCCTACTGATAATTACACAGAAAATAAGATGCTTATGATGAAAATTATAGATGGGAAAGGAAACTTAAGGGACAGTTCTGCTAATTTTTATATGCCTTGCTCTTGCGTTGTGGTGTCAGAAACAGATCGTATTCCCTTGATATAATTTCTTAACAGGGGAGGAACAAGCATCTGAGGAGGAGAACCATTGTCCCAGTGGGACGTTAAAGGTGGACACTAGTCATGCTCTTGACTTGGAAGAGGTTGAACTAGACTCCGAGGCTGAGCTTATGAAGAGTATGGGGTTGCCTCTTCAGTTCGGTGGGCAGCCAGCCCACAGGCACTTCGTGGTAAATCTTTATTTGCTTTATTTGTCCTGTTTACTTTGTATTTCCAAACACAGGGGCATGTCTGCCCCTCAGTTACTTGTGGACTGCAGTTCATGGAGACGTATCCAAGCTGGCTTTAAGCTGCCTGCCTCAGCTTCTTGTAGTAACATGCAGCACCCTGGTCTGTAGAGTTTGTAAAATCCACCCGCCACTTGGACTGAACAGGGTCAGGCTGTGCTTTATGCTTCCATATCTGTATTTCTCTTGCTACTAGAGAAGAGCTAGTTTAAAACAGCCATGGTAGCCCTGATGCTCTGCTTCAGAACAACTAGTGTACACAGAACTGAGCACCTGTGTTCACGCTGTCTGCTTTAACCATTTAGATGCTAATAGAAAAAGCTGGTTCCTTAGATTCGCCCTTGCATGTGATAAATCCAGGCTGTTCCAAAGGGTAGGAGTGAGGCTTGGGTGAAGTCTAGTCCACATTATCTACTTTGTGGAATACAGACCTCACCAGTGGTGAGAGGGGACTTTTAGACAGAGCACTCTGTGGTTCTGACCTGATTAATTTGTAAATAAAAAGGAGAAACTTGTACATGATTTTAATTGATGGCAGGTAAATAGACTTTACAGGCAACCCACTTCAAGGCTGAGGTATACACGTGATTTGTGTTGCTCTGTAGTAATACTGCAAATATCTGGAATGAGAAAACTATGTATGTTTTTACTAGATTACTGCTAAGCGTTGTGCTTTGCGCTGCAGACATTAATGTGATGTTATGAGGGATGTAGATGAAAGATTAATCCCAGCTCTCTGAACCTAACCTCTTTATAGTCCACCTTACGCATTTGTCAATGCAACAAAACTAGGGATGGCAGCTGACGGGACATTTGGAGTAGTATCTGTACATTTACAGTCTTTTGCTAATGTGTGTTATAGGCCCTCATCACTGCTGCCTTTTTCCTGCCAAAGTTAATTTGGCAGTTTATGCAAAAGTCTGGCAGTTTTAGCTGATAGAACAACTTGTTTTTCTTGTATCTGTCTCTAAGCACAGGAACCCCCACTGAAACAAGTGGAGTTCTATTTGGTGCAACCAACAAGTTGCCTTAGTGTTTCCTTTCGGGTTCTGTCTTCTGTTCTGCTACACAACTGCAGTGATTTGAGTTTGTTATACCAAGTGAAATGGTTGTATTGCACAAACAAAAGGCCCAAATGTTTGGAGAGGAGGCTGTTTCCTTGTGTTTCTGTTGGCCAACTTGGAGATCAGTATGGGATGGGAGGAGCATTTCACCCCTCTTTTGGGTCAATGTCTTCAGTCATATGGAGATTCAGCTGCAGGATTATAGAGGTTATGAGCATAAAGCGATGCTTTTTTTGTTTAAAGCACCCAAAGATAGCAAGGATTTAACAAATCTTTTAGGTCGCTGAGCATTGTGTTCACTACACTAATAAGACACCAGAATTGTTTTTGCAGATACCAGGTGACAGTAAGGGTCAGCCTCGACGGTCCCCTAAAACAGGTCCTTGATGTTACTGAGATACTGTTCTACTGTTGAGCTCAACCCAGTAACCCCTCAATTCCTGACTGATGTCGCTTTAGGATTTTATAGTGTTTCATGTTGATGTCTTTCCTTCTGAATCCTTGAGCTACTAATGACTTTCAGCAGCTGCACTTCTGTCTGTAATGCTGCCTTTTTGTGTGCGCATCTTTCTCTACCCTTTCTCACAGCACAATTTCCTCAGAGACGTCAGACAAAGTTATGCAGCAGGGCCCTGTCAACCCATAAACGCTATAACCTGTTTTGGGGAGAAACATAAGGGTGGGGTTACTGCGAGGGGGAGGGTTACAACAGAAGCAGGAAAAAAACTGCATATATGATGTGGACTTTTGAATATATTTTTCCATTCTATTTTAGGGAAAAGAAAATTACAGAAGGAGAAGTAACATGAAGATTGTGAAAAAGAAAAAGAAGGAGTTAAAGCAAAAACACAAGGATAAAATAGGGCAGGAATGTCAGGATGGAGTTTGTGGTGGTTGTAGCCAGTCCGTTTCTGATGAGCCAGCCGTAGCTACAGAGCAAAGTGAGAAGATTAGCAAAACTCAGGTTATAGGTGAAGGGAACTGTGAAAGCTCAGAAAGTCTTGCTAATGCGGCTTTACCCAGTGAACTTAAAGAAAAATGGGAGAAGTACTGGAGCGAGTACGGAGAAGGCCTTCTTTGGCAAAGTTGGTTGGAGAAGCATCAAGAGGTCTCATCATCTGAGGCCACAACAGCCTCCGAGCCCTGGAATAGTGCAGACACCAAGGAAGAGTGGGAGCAGCATTATAGTGAACTGTACTGGTATTACTGGGAACAGTTTCAGTACTGGACAAATCAGGGATGGACTACTGAGAGCTCACATGGTGACAACGCAGGAGCTGGTGCGGTTACCCAGGAGACTGGTCTTTCAGAAAGAATGGACTTGGCTAGCCCAGGTGAAGTGCTGAGCTTAGAGCTGTCTCCCACTAACCCCAAAAGTGAGGAAACACTCCTTTCATGTGTGGAGCCCCACAGTGAAATAATCTCTGGGATTTGTAATTTAAATCTGAATTTGGAGGAAGTGGAGCAGAGCAGTGCTGCTCTAACAGTCACCCACCAAGAGCCTCAAGAGCATGATTCATCTGACAGTGAAAGCCAGTGTCCTTGTATTTCAAGCCAGAAGGAGCCCTGTGATGGAGGAACCAGGAAAAGGAATGCATCTTGTGAAAATGGAAGTATTAATCAGTCAGGTAATACAAAATCAGGTAAAATTGATTCTACCAGCATTTCTTTAGATGATTATATATAAAAAGCAAGGCCATGCCTGTATTACGTGGTTTTAAAAAAGTCAACAGAGTATTTTGTAGAATGATTGCGTACTTGATTCCTTTTTCTTCCCTCTGCTTCTCTGGATGATGTCTCTTCACAAAAAACAGTATATTGAATGTATTCTTTAGCCAGAAGTGATTTTAACAGAACATGTACTTCATAAACCTTCAAATGTACTCAGAAAGTGGTGAGAGGGCACTGTTAGTGCATGTTTATTTATTTGTCTTGGCATTGCAGCTGGGTCATCCAGCTGATTTGTCTTTTCTCACTGGTAGTCTAAAACTAGTAATAGGTGGATGTTCTCATGAATCTGACAAATTCTAAGAACAGCTTTTTGGAAAAAAAATAGTTCTGCAGTTGTGGGGTTGGGTGTTTTTTTTGCCTTCTGTCTTAAAAAAATGCCATACTTGAAAATAAACCTTTGTTTTGTTGTGCTGTGCTACTGTGGACCAGATGTCTTCCAGAGGTCGTTTCCAGCATTATCAATTAGGCAGTGAGCTGCAGTCATCATTACAACCCCAAATTCATAGGTTCACAGCTGGTGGTAACAAGGGGAAGTGCCAGGTAGCGTAGCAGGATGGGGAAAGCCGGTGGCAGTGCCTTGTGCTACTGGCAGAGCTTCGGTGAGGGAGGTGCGAGGCTGGGCTGGAGGCTTCTTTGCCAGCCAGTTCATCATGCAGAGAAAGGAGAATGCCATCACGTTTGCCTGCCGGTTCTTCCTGCCAGTGTTCGCTGTAAGCAGCAGCGTAACGTCTGTCCTGACCGTTGCATGCGTTCTCCTGCGTTCTACTGCTGAAGAGGAAGGATGAAGCATGTGAGTTAAGTGTCAGCAGCTCAGGACTTTAGTTTGGTGGGAAACCTGAGTCCACTGCTAGTGAGTTTCTAAGGAAGGAAGAGGCAGGTGTGGTCCCATCTTGATCCTATGGTAGAGTTGGGAATGGGAGAGGTGAAAGGAAAATCTCCTTACCAGCAAGAAATGAGAGGAGGTGCTGGACTCGTCTCATTAAACGTATGTGAATATCTTCACATAGCTGATGAAATGGAAACAAAATTTAAGAACAAGAAAGAAACTGTTTTGAATTTGTACCTTGCAGGCATTTATTTTTCCTGGACAGCTGAGGTAATTTGAAGTTGGTCCTGCTTATTAGCTCTACAGTGTAACTAGTACTGGAAGCTTGTGTTGGTATGTTGTACCTCAAAGATCGGTAAAGGGGTGTGTGTGTTTGGCACTTGTACCTTACTTGTCAGATTTAGGTATGTGAGACAACCTGCCTGTAGCTGCAGACGTTGGGGATTAGAAGATAAGGAAAGTATGCAGAAGGAAAACATGATCTCATCTACCTTTCTTAGGTTCACAGGGGTCATGTAGCTCGAACGCATGTGACAAAGAACATTCACTGCTTCGTGACAGAGATGAAGATGAGGATGAAGAGCCTCCTGAATACAGACATGCCAAAGTCAAGAGAAGGCAAGTCATGAAATTTAGATGAGCTTTTTTCTCACGTGAGGGAAGGTCCAGAAGCCTTCTGATTTATAGTAACTATTTACTTGATTGAGACTGTGAGTTAAAACTTATAGTTTATCCTCCTTTGCTTTATGAAAACAGTGCATGGCCTCAATGACTGTGCAAGGTGACAGTGCTATTCTCGTGCCACTGAAGTATACAGGGTTGTTAAAATGGAGAGGACAACTTGCTTATCTAGATCTAGTTAGGGTAGACAATACAAGAACAATAGTAAATAATTTGTATTGTTTGAGTTGTATCCTGCAAGTAGAGTGTTCGGTGCTGCGACAGTCATAAAATAGGTAGTCTGCCCTGTCACAGTTTTCTTTCCTCATTAACAAATTTATAGCCTCAAAGATGATGGGATGGCTCTTCCCCTGTCATCAATTTACAAATTCAAAGATGAGGGGATGGATGGATTCATTATCTGCTAATGATGTAGCCTTGGTTTTGTGCTAATATTTTGCTGTTGCCATAAGATTAATAATAGATAATGCTATGGATAACATAATAGATGAAGAAGTTCATTTGGAAATAGGGTGAACAGACACTTTATCTTCATCAGTTCCATGTAGGGCTTGACACTAAACATTTCAAGAAGAAATTCAGAATAGTTGGAATATTATAACCCCAATCGAAGGACATAAATTACTAGATTGGGTGAAAAATGGTATGTTTTCATGGGTGTGACTGGTGTTCTGTGCCTTGCTTTTGGTTTCAGCAGTGTGTGGAAGAACTTACTGAAGTGCACGTTCAAATATTTTAAATACATTAGAATATTAGTGGTAAATCTGTAAAATAAATCATTTTTACAGTAAGTAACTTTCTCGTCTGTATTTCTTCCTAGCCACGAACTGGATGTGGATGAGAACCCAGTGGAAAATCCTGAGGAAACCTGCTCTGTTTTGGGTCTCAAGTGTGGCACAGGACAAAAGTAATTGCTTATGAGGAACTTGGGGTTTTTTCATAGCAAGTCAGCTCTCTTGTTATTATGCAAATAGACCGTTTATCTCCATTCCCATTTTGTTAAACTTTTGAAGGTGATTCCCGAAGTTAGTCTCTGCTCTTAATAAAACTGTCATCCTTTGGCTAGGGAGAGACATGCAAAGTTACAGAGACTAATTAAGGAACAAGAAAAGTGCTTTGAGACAGAAGTTTAACTCATAAGGCAGTTGCAGTTGTGTAACTGTTAAATGGCTGGTCAGCTGCTTAAATTAGGGCAGCTTAAAGACTGTCAGTGAATGGTCCTCTCAGTTTGGAGTCCTGTGAGCTTAGGTGAAAACTTATAGCTGTTTCATGTTGGAAATGAGGTTGCTTTATTCTAGTACAATGTTGCTGTATTAACAAAGTGTTGTCAGGGCATTAACCAGTGACATTTCATTATTGGTCATATAACTTGGAGACAGTAGTGGTCAGTGCTGTAGGAGTAACATCATAGGGCACAGGTGGATTGTAGCTTAGGTCTAGGTCTTCTGCAAGATGCAAGTGTTATAGTACATATATATATGTGTATGTTTCAAAGAGGATTGTGTGTTGTAGTTAGAATCATAGAATGGTT